CTACATAGTGAGATGTGAGACACTGTCTCAAAATAAATACATACATACATACATACATACAAACAAGACAGCCTCAACTACATAGTGAGATTCTGTCTCAAAAAACCAAAAGGGAGGGGTGGTGGAAAAACAGCATTAGAAAATGTTCATTTCACATCCTTAATGAATAAATTCATGCAATAAGTGAAAGATTGATGGGAAGCTTTTTAATGGAGGCTTTTGGCTGTTACCTCTAGGTAGGTAGAAAAATAACCCTCCCACAAAAATGTCCTTTTCCTACTTCTCAGAACCTGCAAATATGTTATTTTATATGGCAAAGGGGACTGTGTAGATATGTTCAATTAAGGGTCTTGAGATGGGGGATTATCCTAAGGGGAAGATAAAGGCAGGAGACTCAGAGAAGATGAGATGGTGGAAAGAGAAGGGAGGAGGGGAAGAAGGAAGAGAAGAGGAGAGATTTGAAGATATCATGCTACTGGCTTTGAAGATGGAGGAGACAGAGTCAAAGAATGCAGGTGGCCTCTAGAAGCTGGAAAAGACAAGGAAAGCGATTCTGCTTTGGAGCTTCCAAAAGGAATGCAGCCCTGTTGACACTCTTGATTTTAGGACTTCTGACCTCCAGAACTGTTAAAGTAAATAAACGTCTGTTAGCCACTAAGTGTCATATTGTTATCACAGCTGTAAGACACTAATAAACATCTGAACATACCAACCAATCTTAGCAGCTCTAAGGGGCACAAAAAAACCCCAACAAAACAAAACAAAACAAAAACCTGTATTCCTGACATGTCACATGAAGTGCACACTGCCCATGAAGTTCCCTTACCAAAAAGGTACAATTCAACCTGATTACATCTTCATAACTTAATCCTTTTAAAGAAAATAGGGGGGCTGAACTGGTTAAATGATCCATCAATGGAGAAACAAGACAAATCTTAAATGTGGGATATTCTGCAAAGACAATTAACTGATAAAACTGTATGCATAAAAAAGGAGGAGGGGGCTGCTCTAGATTAAACAGAGTTGGGAGACTCAGAAAAATAATTTTTAAATATTTTTCAAACAAATGGGAAAATTTTAATATGTGGCGCAGATGAGATGGTATTGAGGAATCATTACTAAATTTTTTTGAGATAGGTCTTATGTTTCCCAGGCTGATCTTGAATTTTTGGGCTCAAATGATCTGCCTCAGCCTCAATTTGGGAGGGTGGGGGAGGAGTAATGCCTCACATGCTAGGCAAGCCCTACACAATACACCATCAGCACTCTTTTTGTTTGTTTAAAGAGATGAGGCCTTGCCACATTACCCAGGTTAGTCTTGAACTCCTGTCTCAGTCTCCCAAGTAGTTGGACCTAGAAGCCCCACCACCATGCTTAGCTTCATTGCTAATATTGTGAAGAGGGATTATAGCTATATAACACTGTGGTTATGTTCACATTTTTAAAGAGATTCAGGCTAAAAAAAGTATGCAGAACTAAAAAAGTGATATCTAGGATTTATGTTAAATCAATTTGACATAAAATGATAAAGAAAGCTGGGCACGGTGGTCCACACCTATAAACATAGCACTGGGGAGGCTAAGGCAGGAGGATTTTAGGGGGTTCAAGGCTATCCTGGGGTACAAAGTGAGTTTGCAACCAGCCTGGACTCTTAGCAAATCCGACTCAACAAAACAAAACACAACACGCCTCACACACACAGACGTAAACACAAAGCAATAGAGGAAAAGCAGTGACAATGAAACAAGTATGGTCCCCAAAACTGATGGATCTAGGTAATGAGTATAATGGTAGACTCACTACACTAGTCTCTGCAACACTGAAAATAAAACCAATGCCCAAAATAACTGGAGCAGTGGGTGACGTTTAAAATCAACAGCTTTGAAAGCCAGCCTAGATTTGAGAGACTCTGTCTCAAAAACAAAACAAGTCAGGGATGGTGGTGCATTCCTGTAATCCCAGCACTTGGGAGGCTGAGGCAGGAATGCCCAGAGTTCAAGGTCATCTGAGCTCCACTGAGTTCAAGTCAGCCTTAACTACCAAGCGAGATCCTGTTTCAAAGAAACCAAACCAAACCAAGAGCTTTCACATCAAAATCTACATTTGGTTTCACTTGGAAATCAGATGTAATAAAAAGGCCCAAATTTCCTGTAGAGCTGAGTAGTGGTCACTTCACAATAAGTTTCCACCACTCTCAGTTATTCTCCCATTTATCATCACGGCTGTTAGCTTCTTTCTTTTTTAAAAAAATATCCAGCCCAATTCATTCCTCCATATTACCTACTTGATTTAGCTTTAGGACCCTAGTGGCCCAATTAAGTTGCCATACCAGATGCAGAGAGTAAGTGAGGGGTGGTGAAACCATGTGCAGATGCACACACACACACACTCCTGCTATCGAAGTCTCCTCCAGCCGCCTTCATCTAGATGTGCTTCTTGTCAGCTCTTGTTTTTATTGCGTACTTGCTAAAAGCAAGGCAATGTACTTAGTTCTGGAAAATTATAAGCATGAAAATCATTCCTCCCCTCAGGGTACTAACAGTCTAGTAAGGAAGGTAGGCATAAACGTAAGTAGTTACAATATGAGAGAAAATAAATGAGTTTAAAGTGCTGTTCAGGTGTGTGCTATGATGCAAACTGGGAGGTGACAATACAGAAATCTTCAAAAACATACCATGAACAGCACTACAAAGCATTCTGGGAAATTGAAATTATCAGATAAGCGACAGTAAACCACTGAAAGATTTTAAAGTAACACTGCAGATGAGAACAAGGTCTCTTTCTTTGGTCAGATTCGTTGACTCCATAAACTAGAACCTCTGAAAAGCCAGAAGCATTACCCTCAGCTGTACATGGTGACCCACACTTGTAATCTCAGCACCCGGGAGGCTGAGGCAGGAGGACTGCAGCAAATTCAACACCAGTGTGGGCTACATAATGAATTCAAGGTCAGCCTGAACTGCATAGTGGAAACTGTATCTCAAAACAAACAAAATTAAAAAACCAAAAAACAAAAACAGAAGCATGCCCCTCAAAATTTACCTATACCTCTAAAATTTCACCACTACCACTTGCTTGCTTGCTTAGGTGGAAAGAACTTCCCTACCCAAAGAAAATGATAAAAGTGTGGCAGCAAACACCTGTAATCCCAGCACTTGGGAAGCTGAAGTAGGATTGCCAGTTTGAGGTCACACTGGGCTACATGGTTCAAGGTCAACCTGAACTACATAGCAAGACCATCTCCAAAAAAAAAAAAAAAAAAAAAAT